TCTTTCTTCACATTTTTGTTTAAACTTTTAAAGCTGTCCGAACTTCAATCTGTTCTGTTTCGTCTTTCTTGGAGTAGTTTAATTGTATTGTTATAAAAACTTGTAAGTTTTTTCGTTTAAGTCGAGAATAATTTTACCTTTGAAGTTTCTCATAAAATGAGGAGTTCTTTATCTCTGAATGTAGGTAATTTCTTTAAATTTTTTGTGTATATTAAACGCGTCATGTTTTCTTTGTAGATTTTCCATCTCACGACATCTCTGTTCCATCCAGGCCTCTTTAGCTCACTTAACCTCGTATCTTCTTGTCGATATATTTTTCTATATAATACTTTATATATAACCAAATGAATACATGCGTATCAACAGAGAACGTTACATAGTGACTGCAGCTATGTCGTTAACTGTTGATTTTTTGATTCAATCCCCTCGTGCCCAGGACATACATGATCCTATTCCTTCTCCTATGTAGCATCTCTATTGAGGTTGGCAACCAGTATGGTAAAATCTTGTCTATTGTGGGCTTGATGTATGAGAGCGTTTCCTTTAGTTCTGGTCTGATCTCTTATATTCCTAAGCCACGGTTTCTTCTTCCTTCCTATAGCACGTTTCCTTTTACGTAATATTTTCTTTAATTATTAGTTGTAGTTGTTCGTATTACTCGTGGCGCACTATAATTCCCAGTTATGAGATTTTTATAATTTTGACGGTCTTTAACAGATGTGGGCGAGTATACATCTTTCAAAAAACACTTCTACGTTGGTCGTCCTTGTGGTCTAACTTATTCGCAACATTTTTCTGTACAATTACTTGTTGAGCTACGTATATTAAGATGTTACAGGAGGAAAAGTATTGTCTAAGTGATATAAGGGAGATGGCGAACTTTAGAGGTTATATATAGCATTGGTATGACACTGCCTTGTCTCACTGCATGTAGACCCAACGTATGGTAAGGGTATGGAACAAAAAGAAGTGGCCCAGAAGAGGGCTTAGAAATGAGTTATCCTTTTTAATCTACAAATAAAAATAAAAGCTCCAGCCCCAACTAGGTGTCAATGACCCCAATCAGGTTCCTAATAGCGAACCTTGAGCACAGTAAGTCTATTCCGGCAAAGCTGTTATATGAGACACGTTATTTTGACGACGTTTCCGCAAGGTCACGTTGCCATTGTCAAGTCAGATTGATTCTGCTTCTTCCTGATGTTCAAGGAGAACTTAACTACAGAAAAATAAAATTCCTAATTTCATTTAGAAAATAATACAAAGCACTGAATGAAATAAAAATAGAAAATTGCACATTTAGAGTGTAAAAATATCTAGGAGTAATAAGTAGAACAAAATAAGAGAAACACAGGAATAAAAGCATCTATTAGCAAGTCGACAATACCTACTAACTGGAGATACCACAGGATACTAAAAAAATGGAAGCTAAGTAAGAATATAAAATAGAAAAGATATAAAGTCATATATTTAACCAAGATAATGTCCTTCAGAAATAAATATGAAGAAAGGTTAAATAAACGTTACCACATGGAAGCCAGAAGAAAGAAACTAAACTGAAAAGAAACTGAGTGAAAAAGAAAGAAAAACGAGGAGTGATCCAATGCAATAAAATAATCAAACGAGCTCTAAGAAGAGAACGACAATTATTCCACCAGGAATGGAAAGCCTTAACGATGATGAAACTACCAAGGTGAAAAGTGAGGTCCAGAACGCCTGTGATATCAAATTACAGAGGAATTCGCTAGGGTTTCTTACTGTATCCTCTACTGTTTACTGTTCAATGTCTGTGGTGGAAAGGTATTTAAATAAAAGTTCTCCGATTAAATAAAAACATTTTTAATAACGTAGGTTTTGATCACGATAAAGTATTAATGACACAGTGATTTGCAAAATTTAATCCACAGTTAATCAAGATTTCCAGTATTTAACCAACCACTGGTAAAATTTACCACATTCCTGTAACAAGTTGTACTTTTTCTAAGCTGAGCATAATAAAATCGATATTTCGATCAACAATACTACAAGACTGTTTGGAATATCTAATGGTGCCTTTTGTAGAACAATAACTTGCTGTAAATATAGATAAAGATAATATAGATAAAGATAGTGTAGTTGACGAATGGATGCAGTAAAGTCCATGAAAAATAATAAAGTGGCTGGTCCAGATGAAATACCAAGTGAGTTGTTAAAACTGGTCAATGAAAAAAACATAGATCTTTTAGTCCAACTTCTTTAATATTCCTTAACCAGGACAATTGTTTGCGGCCGGCTCCTCTCCTACCTTCGATCTTCCCTTGTAGGATTAACTGTGGTATTTCATATTTTGCTCCTCTCAATATGTGCCCAAGGTAACCAATCTTGCGTTTTTTAATTAATTCAAAGAGTTCTCTTTCCACGCCGATTCTATTAAGGACGTCATCGTTTCGAACTCTATCCACCCAAGGTATGCGCATCATTCTTCTCAATGACCACATTTCAAATGCTTCAAGTTTGTTGATAGATGTTTTTTTCAAAGTCCACGTTTCCATGTCATAAAGCAAGATGGACCATATGTAGCACTTGACCATTCTGTAGCGCATTTCGAAGTTTAGGTGTTGATTACATAGGAGCGGTCTGAATTTCACAAAAGCTTGTCTTGCCATTTGTATTCGGGTTTTTATCTCGTGTTGTGGATCCGATTGGTCATTGATTGTGGTGCCAAGGTATTTAAAAGTTTTCACGCGATTTATACGATTGTCATCTATGCATAATATCGGGTTTTCTGGAGGGTTTCTGCTAATGACCATATATTTCGTTTTCAAAATGTTGATTTTGAGGCCATATTTTTTACCTATGCTATTCACCCTATCAAGTAATAACTGCTGATCTTCCAAATTATCAGTTATAATCACTGTGTCGTTCGAATAGCGTCGGTTGCTAATCGGTATGCCGTTCACCTTAATGCCTAATTCCGTATCTTCTAATGCTTCCGCAAATATATTTTCAACATATAAATTAAAAAGCATCGGATAGAGTATGCAGCCTTGGCGGACACCTTTCCGGATTTCAAATTCATCCGTATATTGGTCTTGATCAATCCTCACCTTTGCCATTTGGTTCCAGTATAGATTCTGAATAATTCTGATCTCCTTCTGGTCAATGTTGGCCCTATGTAGAAATCATTCCACATGAAATGCTGACATCAACATTTATTGGTCTACCAAAGAAAGTAAATGACACAGAATGTAGTGATTATCGAACGATCAGTCTAATGTCACATACCTTGAAAACCCTGCTAAAAATCATCCATAATAGAATACACGCTAAGCTGGAGATGGATATTAGTGATTCTCAGTTTGGATTCCGGAATGGAGTGGGCACAAGAGAGGCAATATTTTCTTTTAACGTGCTGGCCCAAAGATGTTTAGATGTTAATCTTTATGTATGCTTTATAGACTACAACAAGACATTCGATAAGGTAAAACATGACCGACCTCTAGAAGTACTCAAAAACAAGAATCTGGATGTGAGGGATGTAACATTGATATCAAATTTATACTACAGCCAACGATCATATATTTGAATTATGAATATTTGAAAATTGGAAGAGATGTGTCAGAAGAAGTGGAGGTAAGGAGAGTGGTCAGGCAAGGTTGCATACTGTCGCGTTTATTGTTTAATGCTTATTCTGAAGAAGTCATACCAGAAGCTTTGGTAAATGAGACAGTCGGCATAAAAGTGAACGGAAGTTTAATTAACAATATTAGGTATACCGACGATACAGTCATCATAGCCGACAACTTGGAAGACTTAGAAAGAATAATGAACAATATATTAAGATATAGTGGATAATACGGACTCTCTCTTAATATCAAAAAACCAAATTCAGGAAAATTAGCAAGAACAACAATACAAACGAAATATTAACGGTAAGCGGCCAGCACATTGAGAGAGTAAAAAGATATACTTACTTTGGAACGATACGCACAGAAAATAACGATTATACTGCAGAAATAAGAGTCAGAATTGAAAAAGCACGTGCCAACTTCGTGAAAATGAAAAAGATTTTACGCAGGAAAGATCTGACATTGGCCCTCAAAATAAGGCTAATTAAATGCTATGTACACAGTGTACTCTACTATGTAGCTGAATCATGGTCACTAAACCGGAATAAATAAATCGACTTAACGTGTTTAAAATATGGATATTTAAAAGATTGTTAAGGATTCCATGGTTAGATAGAGTCAGGAATACAGAAATGTTAAGGAGAATAGTCAGAGAGAGGGAAATAGAAAATACAATAAAAGAAAGAAAATTGCAATATCTCGGACATGTGATGAGAGGCGAAAAAACCTGAGAGAGTGGTTTGTTTGCAGGTCAAGGCAATTGTTCAGTGCAGCTGCCTGGAAGGTCACAATAGCCATGATGATTGCCAACCTTCGTTGCGGAGATGGCACTTAAAGAAGAAGTTGACGAATTAAAAAAAATAGTATCACTCCAGCAACAAATGTATTGTTATAATCAATTTTTAATATCAATCTGAATTTTTTAAAGTATTTTTTATAGATATGACTATGGCCACCCATATTTTTCTTATGATCACGCAATAATTTAATATAAAAACAAACGTAACTCGTTTTAAAAATTTACTGTTCTGACAAATATATTTTGAATTAAAAAAAATATTTAAAAAAATTGTTAACTGTTATATATGGGGGGCGCGATTTTAAGCATTGGAACCCACACTAAGAAAACCTGGCTACGCCTATGTATGAATACATTGTAATTGGTTACATACAAATACTTACGTCTGACACATGGACTAAACCAACGAATCAAGACACATATGTAAACAAAAACATGGACTACGAATTAATAAAAGCAGAAAATAAAACATAACAAAAATGCTGATGATATGCAAAAACTAATGATGTAAGGAAAACCGGAATAAAGAAGAAGTATAAATCGACTACCAACGGGATAGACTGATACAGTTCCTTGTGCAAAACTAATATACTTACTTGTGCATTTTGATGTTGATGAAGAATGCTGATACCGCTCTCCATAAAATTGAAAAACTTTGGCCTCTTTGGAAGTGGAACTTCTTTTAATTTGGCGGTGGTCTGCTACTAAATCAAAACAGAAATTACATTTTGAACGGAAATTTTACTGTCTGCATAAACTTGTTTACTAGTTCACTGTCGCATTAGCATCATATTTATTCATTTTCACAACAACGATACTATTAATGTTTGAAATAGGCGCGGGAATTATCTACGAGGTAAATATTATACTAGCTCTCGACATTTATCTTGATACAGTCGTATCGTCCAATGAATATCTCAATATGGGTTTCGTTATATTTATTGCAACGTGTAAACATAATTATTGTGAAACAATACAAGTGTCGCACAAATTAAAACACAAATGAGATAAAACTTTGTTCTCCCACGCTAAAATACTTTAATGAATGAAAACCAATATAAAAATCCAATAGGTGTATACCATGTGCTTTATAAAGTTGAACTCTGAAAATATTTCAAGGAGAGAAAATTTAATTTACTCTGAAGGTTAGATCTAGTAAAAGCATTTGATCGTGTCAACCTGAAAGATGTCGTACATATCTACAATAGAAAATGCAAACCAAATAAAAGCGAAGAAACTGTAAGTTCTTCCTCTTCTTGTCGTGCCTATCCGTTTCGGATATTGGCGACCATCATGTTAATCTGTATTTTGCAAACCGGGGCTCTGAAAAGATTTTTGGTTGTTGTGTTTAACCATGTACTTAGATTTTTCCTTTGCCTTCCTTCCATATGATAGAATCCTTTGCCTTCCTGGTCTTCGTTTTCTTTCTACTTTTCCTTGTAAAATTGCAGCAACCCATATCTTTCGCTGTTCCTCATTATGTGACCGAGGTATTTAATTTTGACTGTTTTTATTGTGCTTAATAACTCTTTTCCTTTTTGCTTTCTTACTAAAACGCCATGGTTAGTAATACGGTCGGTATAGGATATCTTCAGGATTCTACGATAAAGCCACATTTCGAAAGCTTGTTCATAAGTACTTACACAACTAATATCGGCTGAGAATAGTATCCTCCAGGAAGAAGTACCACTTTGAACAATTGAACCACTTTATACTCGATATTACCATGGTCGAAAATATAACAATTTGCAGACAATGTAATTACTATTTAAATGGAAATAAGCCACAATTAAAGGTTAAAGTTAGTTTATTGACGTTTCAATTTCCACTTTGGAAATTGTTCTCAAAATACAAACATTAGTAAATTAAACAAATTTTGTTTTTTTTTGTTACTTGGTGAAAAATTCTAATTTAATTTTATCCGACTCATTTATATTGACAATTCAGACATACATTATACATTTTAAAGTAGACGACTTTAAAATGATAGTGCCAATATTGTTGAGTTGCGTTCCTGGGACGACTTTACTTGTAAGATAGTTCATTCGATTACATGAAATCAACATTAACTTGAGAATATCCGTCAGAAAAAATCATAGCATGTAATTCGTCTTGTATGTTACTGACTTACTAATACTGGTATTTTCCTTTGAATAACTTCCTCTTTTAATATGGGTAACCAGATCCTACTACAGTCTGCCGAGGAATTTGCGACACAATTGGTCTCATTTAGCATAATTAGAGCCGTTTCTTTGATTGTTCTCTTTTTACCATCCGTTTCTTTTAGGACTGTATTTGATTCATTCCATTCAACTCTGTTCATTATCCCATGCGTGTTTACATATTTGAGATCTAATAAATTCTCTATTTTAAGATTGATGTTCACTTATTCTAACATTTAATGGCCTTGATACTTCACCTAAATAAAACTGATCGCATTCACAAGGTATTTTATAAATGCAATTCTTTGTTCTTTCTTGTTCACTGTTAGGTTTGGTTTTAGACAACATAGGTCTTAATGTGTTGGTTGTTTTGAATGTTGTTGAAATGTTGAATTTATTTCCTATCCTTTTAAGTTTTTCTGATAATCCTTTTATGTATGGTATTGTTATTTTCCTCGTATTATTTCTTGTGTATGCTGTAGGATCTCGTTCCGAGTTGTTCTATTATATTCGGTCGATTGTTAAAAATTCCTTATTTATAAACGATAAAGGATAATATTTTTTAATAAAAAAGATGTTAACAAATGTTTTTTCTCCAAGAACGAATTTTCGTAAGAACATGTAATTTTTTCTCTATCGTATAAGGATTTAATGATTCCCTTTTAAACATTAATATTGTGATTTGATTTGAAATATAAATATCTGTTAGTGTTTGTTGGTTTTCTATACACATGAGTCTCATATCAAGTATCGTTCTTAGAGATTAAAACATCCAGGAAAGGTAGTGTGTTATTATATTCCTTTTCCATGGTAAATGTTATTGTCTCTTCTTTATCGTTTATATCATTCAGGAATGTGTCCACCAACTCTGATCCATGAGACCATATTGACAATACATCATCTACATATCAATAAACTAACTTTAACCTTGAATTGTGGCCCATTCCCATTTAAATAGTAATTACTTTAAAATGCCACAAGAAAATAGCTTCAGAACAATATTGCATACAATGAATACGATCAGCAACGACTTTCTCACCAATTTAATAAAACAGTCAAATGTTTTAATCAAGAATTTTTACTGGATGGAGGGATCATCCCGAAAGAGTTGACCTAATCATGGTGGGATGAAGGTATATGAAAATTTAACAGGTGATCGTCATTATACAACCTTCAATTTTCTCCAATGCTCCCAATCCTTGTGCCATGTAATCCAGTTTGTGGTATACACTCTTTATATTATACGTCCACTGTGTCGAAGGTCTTCTCGTACTTCTATGGCCTGAAATCTAAGACGCTATGCCTTCATTATGCGTTAGTCCACCTAGCTTCATTCATTCTTGCTACATGTCTAGCCCAGTCCATTTCATATTTGCTATCCTTTCCGCAGAATCTGTAATCCCTGATATGACTCTTATTTGAAACTCTATTTCTTAGCGTTCCCAACATAGGCTTCCCAGTGTGGTCCATAACAAAACAACCGATAGTAAGTAGAAGAAAATGAAAAGACGCTGGTATGTTTAGGAAACTAGGCCGGAGTGATGTGGAGAACATTAGAAAAAAAATTTATAACATGTATGACGAACAGATGATCCGCACGTTAAAAATCATCATGCAAAAGTTGCAATGTCTTCTAAAAAAACGGCTTTAAAATAAAAACAATCGATAAACGCCAATTGATTATGGATTCTGCTCGTCTACAAACATGGAAGACGGAATTTTTAATTCAAATCCATAAATACAGAGAATGTGGAAGAGAAATTGTTTATCTAGATGAGACGTGGTTTGACACCCATGACGTTCCAAAAATGGTTGGACAGATTCTTCTGGTCGCTGTACAACAAAAGCTCCATAAAATAAAGGAAAACGTATTACAATAATTCATGCAGGAAAAAAATGGTTTTATATCTAATGCTTTAGCCTTGTTATGCAAAAACATTAAGGACTCCCGTGCCGACTATCATGATGACACCACGTCAGAATTATTTGAAAACTGGTTTTCTATGAAGTTTTTGCCAAATATACCACCAAACAGTGTAATTGTGATGGACAATGCCAGCTACCACAGTCGTAGGCTGAATAAAGTTCCATGTTCTAATGACACCAAACTTGTTATTCCATGTTCTAATGAATCCAGGAATATATGCTGGAAATGATATGTATTATGAAGATAATTGTTCCAAAAAACAATTACTTGAAACTTTAAAATCATTTTCTATCAGAAAACAATATTATTGCGACAGTTTGGCGGAAGAAATGGGTCATAAAGTATTAAGACTTCGTCGTTACTATTGCATATTCAATCCAATTAAACACATATGGCATGAGCTAAAAGCATCGGTAAAGAGAAGTAATGTTTCGCCCACCTTAAATTCATCTGTGGTTCGTCTTATTGAATTAGAAATGTAAAAAATAGCCAATGACAGCTGGAAAAATAGTGTTGCCTATCTAAAGATGGAAAGATCTTATATAAATACAGATAGGTTGCTCAAAAAAACAATTATTATAGATCTAAATAACGACAGTGATAGTGAAGTTGACTTGTCCATGTAATTTTTTAAATGTCAGTACTTTTTGAATTGTATTTATAAATGGTAAACTTTAGACCCACCTCAATTTTAAAAATAATTTTGGCCACAACAGAAAGGGCAATGCTAGGTATCAGATAGGAAGAGGAACGACGATGCTAAGGTCAAAAACAAAATTGGAGGATATCGCAAAAGAAAATATGCCAAACTCAAATGGAGCTTAGCAAGGCAAACCACACTCTCTGCAAAATGCAAAAGGACTAACGTTAGAATGCTACAATACAACATTGGGTATCCTACAAAGATAGAAGATCAAGAGGAAGGCGACGGTGATGACGACGAAAAGAGAGGATAGATGACATAAAAAAATAGTCGGAACAAATTTGAAGTATGTTCAAAGGTAAAGAAGATATCTCAGGGACGATTAAGCGGCCTTGCATTTATGTCAATTGAACAAGACATATTGGTCACAATAAATCTAGGTAACGCGATCAATGCGATGGCTAAAATACCTACCTATTAAATTTAAATTTATTTATTTTTAATAAAGCATGTAGTTCATGTTACGATTCTTATAAAACATCCTACAGTTAGTCTTATTTACAATGTATATTTAAGGCTCTTGATTTTATATAAATTTAGTTATTTGTCTATATTTGTTTTAATAAAAAGTATTTTGATACAAGCTTTTTTGTATGAATGGAGGGCGCGTATTTTATCGTTGTCTCAAATCGCACAAAACTCTGAAACCGGCCCTGGAGAGAGGAAAACATGATTGGACAAATCAACAAAGAGACCAATGAAAACAATACATAGACATAGTTTTGAAAGAACCGCACAATAAACAAAAATGAAAAAAATAAAACATAATTTGTTGAAAAAAATGTTTTGAAATTTTTGCTTCTTAGAATGCAATTGTGGTGACATATAATGAAAGAAAAACTTACTTAAACATACCAGCGAAACGATAGTAAAAGAAAGAACTAATGTTTCGAGGATGCAAAAATATTTTAATATGAAAAAAAATCAGGAAAAGAATAAGCTTTTCCTGTTTTTTTTTTATCAAATAGTATCATCAGATATTTTATCAAATTGTATCAAAATAGTGTCACGAGATTTCGTGTTTTTCCTCGTAACTTACAAGGCAAAAAACCGTTTTGCCGTCACTAGTACCTACTAATAACATAATTTTAGAGGTTTTTAAAAGTTTAAAAATTGTAATTTGAATGTGACTTTCACGCCGGAAAAAAATAAAAAATAAAGCGTTTAGTTTACAAAGTGTGTATAATGCCCAAAATGTAATGGAATAAAACTAACTGCCACGACAAAGTACCCTTAAAATGATCATTTTGCTTTCATGAATGGGAATCAATTAAAAATATGGAGAATAAACTATCCTTTGTTACCAAAAATTACAACTTCCAAATCATTGAAAACTACTGAATTAACATTGCATTTAATGAATAATATGTACTTACAAAATCTTTATAAAGAGAAAAAACACAAAAGACACTAATATCATACTTTTTTTAAGCGTAAATATAATTTACCGATATCCTTTACTTTACCCGAGCTCCTAAATAAATTACTAATGATAATAAAACATATTGCTGTTATCAAGCAGCAGTGTAACTGCGGTTTCCTGCACAAATGTCAAATAAAAATAAACAAAAACAAACATTTGGACAATACCGTAAAATTTCAAATCCAAATAACCCAGTTCTTGCTATATTTAAATGGTAAACTCGCACTCTAACCCATTACTGTCACTCTGTAACGCTGCATTATAATGTCATTTCTTTTCAACCTTTTGTCTCGCGCTGAGCCCAAAAGATCGATCCCGCGGGCTCCGTGAAGGACACTGCTCACTTGACATGTGCACGAGCGAACCACGTGTTGAGTGCTCCAGCTGATTCTGTTGGAATTCCGACGAATCCATCAACGATGACTAAACTGGAACAACCCGCATTGCATCCTTCAATTAGACCGATCTTGGGCGAACGCGAGGTATAATTCTGTCTGAAACGATAGGTCAAGACAGAAAAGTTACCTATAATTTATGGGTTAATTTGTATTCTGTGCATATCGCTACAGCATTAAATGCCGAAAATGTATTTTGAGTCATTGGCGCACCAACGAAAATTGAGAAGACTGATTTCCTGAAAAAAACATACTTTTACATTAAATGAATGGCTTAACGACGTAGCTACAGCAGATGCAACAAAAATAAAAAGAACAAAAAATAACTGGAAATGTTTGCTCATTATTCATCGTTGCCTTCTCCTTTATTCCTATAGATATTCTTGCTAGTTCCTTTAACCGCTACTTAAAGGACATGAAATGGTTGCCACTTTGACCATAAACTATAATCATTGTGGCAAGCAAATTTTACAAATAACGGAAAATGTTGTTATTTTTAACGTTATTATAATAAATTAGGCGTTGAACGCAAAATCATTCCAAACACAAGGTAGGTACTAAATTCTGATAAAGAAAATTTAACCACTATTTGAAAGTAAATTATGTCTATAAAAAAAAACTTAAATTTAAACAGTTTCTATGTTTTTCTATACGCTGAGGTCGTGTGATGACCTTTTTTATGCACATTAGTAAATAATAAGCATTTAGTTGTGGGTTTGACCGCTTTTGCATTGATGGTTTTTTCATATAAAGGCTGGTGATACAAAGAAAGAACAATACAATTATTGTTAAAATAAGTAAACACTCATATTGCGCTAATGCCTTCTGCAACACAGTCACTATGTACAAGTTTTTCATAAAATTCATAATCAACAAGAGGAATATAGTTGAGCAATTCTAATTGCTGTGCTGAATATTTTATATTTTCTGGAAATAAACCACAATAATTGTAATTTATAGAGGCTATATGAGGCCATTATTTGCAAAACTTGCTCTTTCAGCTTGCAACATTCAGCAACATAAAGAGTTAAACGCTACCGACGTCCTTCATCTTCAGCGTTGGCAAAACGTCGCAGGTTCAAAACCAGAACCAGAACCAGGTCAGAATTTGACGCAGAAATATATCAAAAACTTTTTTAAAACGGGAAGATGATCCAGTACTTAAGTGTTTTCCTATCTATATATTTTAACTTCAATTGTACATAATAAACGAGTTACATACGTCATAACTTTTAAATTTTTTGTTTATTTTAAGCAACCACCAGATTTCCGGGTTATCCGAGTTTTTCGGTATCCGAGGTATGCGCGGTCCCAATTAGCTCGGATAATCGCGAGTCTACTATTATATTATTTTGCTGAATGTATATTCGAAATGAGGTTGAATGCTCGACTAAATGAACTTTGAAAATAAGGCTATTATCGAGCACAAGTTAATTAAATCTAGCCCAAGTACTTTCGCTTAAAATAGCATCTTCAGGGCATTTCGTCAAAATGTAAACTGTCCGCCAAGCGTAGAATGTGGAAACATTAATATTGACATAAAATTATTGTACAAAACACTACACTAAAACCAGGACAAACAGTTTAAAATTACTTAAAGATTCTACGCTACATTCTCTGTCGGTATCTGGAGGGATAATGATCTAAGCGGAAAAAAAATAATTTAACATTTTTTTTTCCGCTTAGATCATTATACCTCCAGATACTGACAGAGAATGTAGCGTAGTATCTTTAAGTAATTTTAAACTGTTTGTCCTCGTTTTAGTGTAGTGTTTTGTACAATTTTATGTCATTATTAATGTTTCCACATTCTACGCTTGCCGGATAGTTTACATTTTGACGAAATGCCCCTGAAGATGCTATTTTAAGCGAAAGTACTTGGGCTAGATTTAATTAACTTGTGCTCGATAATAGCCTTATTTTCAAAGTTTAATGTATATTCTTTCAAACTGTATAAGTAAAAGGTGCGAAGGTATTTTTTTATCTATGATATTTTACAATCAATAAAATAAGAATAAGCCCAAGTCGCATCTACCATAATTTATAGTGTCAAAATTAATATTAATTTTTAATGAAAATTTAAATTTGCACTATCGAGACTATCTGTCATTTTTGAAAATAGTTTACGTAATTTTCGCAAAGTTTAAAAAATTAATATTAACAAAGAGAGTTTTTAATCTAATTTTGATATTTTCATGATACTATTTTTTGTATCTTGTATTTTGTAAAAAGTAATGTAAAATAGTAAATAAACTATAACGTCTATGTGTTTACTTACCACAATAATATAACTCAATATAAACTGTATGCAATATAATCGACAAGATGTGTCTTCCATAAAGTGCTGATATTATCTTATCGTATAATTGGTTTTTAATTCTATCTTTCATATAAATGACAATATTATCCACTTAAAATTTAAAGTTGTGTATACTATAAGTTATGTAATTAATTTATTAATATCGTATACAATATAAAAAAAGCCCATAAAAAAGCAAATGAAAAAACATGTCAATGTTTTCATTACGAATTATAATAAAGTAAAGCAATAATCAATGTATCGGTCCTTTGAGCCTTGTTTTCTTTTACAATGGGTAGGATGCTAACCTGGCCCATCAACCCTCCTCTTTTATCCGGGCTTTTTACCGGCTGTGGGCATGAACGCGGCTTTGAATTACTCAATCCACCCAGTCATCGCGCTCATAACCCCCAGGCATCAATGTCCAAATAGTATTGGAACACGCATAAATCACGAACTAGAAATCCGAAGATTTCTAATTGTCGAAACCAAAATCCAGATTTTTGCTTTAATCTGTACCTACTAAGAATTGCAAGGGAAACAGACGTTGATAACGGTGTAATTAGAGAAAATGGGGAATCTAAAATTGCATGCCACAACATATATCCTAAACTAAGCAAAAATCCTTGGAGAATTGGTTTCTGGTACTCATAAAGAGGATATCGAAATAAAAAGGAAAGACAGTTAAGATTTTATTTCACGTATAGTGCCTCTGTATATTCGCTTATACGTATTTCATCCTAAAAGGAGTCTTTGGAGCGACTATTCAAAGAAGCTCTGAACGTGAAAACAATTTTTCCCGTCGAAAAGGAAGCATCGCTAAAATGGCGTCCATATGGACGTATATGGACTACTATGTTCTATTTGTATTCAGAAGAAATAATCCAGGAAGCACTAGAAGAACTAACTATGAGAATAAAAGTAAATAGCCGACCAATCAATAATATACGGTTTACCGACGACACTATTTTATTAACGGAATATCTTGAGGATTTACAACAAATGACAGAGTGGTAAAAGTCAGTGAAGAAAACGGACTGTCCCTAAACACAAAAAAAACACAATTTATGGTAATTACAAAAGCCCAACAGCGCCAAGAAAACATAACAATACATGGAGAACAAATTAAAAAAGTTGAAAAATATAAATATCTGGGTACACTAATTAACGAAAATAATGAGTACACAGAAGAGATTAAGGCAAGAATAGAACAGGCAAGAAATTCTTTCAACAAACTGAAAAAAGTACTCTGCAGCAGGGACATTTTAATTTCTTTAATTTGAGAGCTTGGTTTAACTGCAATTCTGCTGAGCTCTTTAGAGCAGCGGTATCGAAACTGTGGATTGCCATGATGGTTGCCAACCTTTTTAGAGGAGATGGCACATGAAGAAGAAGAAGATGGACGCAATAGCGACATCTTGTAATTCTTAGAAGGCACAGATTAAAGCAAAAATCTGGATTTTGGTTTCGACAATTAGAAATCTTCGGATTTCTAGTAGAGGTGTGCTTATTAGTTCTTTTAGACGAACTAGTTCAACAGAACTATTTCAGAAAAATGAACTAGTTTAGTGAACTAGTTCGCGAAAGAACTACTTGTATGACCGACATCGAAATCCAACCCTAACAGAACTGGTTGCCAGATGTCTCGTCTCAATCATCACACAAGCTCGGTGCTGGCCGCCCGTTTACTTCGGTTTTCAGTCAGTCTTTTACTAGTTCACTACCGTACAAATAGTTCGGAACTATTTATTTTTTTCAGTCAGTCTTTTACTAGTTCACTACCGTACAAGTAGTTCGGAACTATTTCTTTCTTTCAGTCTTTCACTAGTTCACTACCGTACAAGTAGTTCGGAACTATTTCTTTCGATCGTATGTTTAGGTTTAAATGGTTTAAATTATTATATGATTAGTTAGTTTTTATTTGCAAATAATTATTAAGATTTGTTTTTTATTAATCGTTTTAAATATAAATATGGTTCAAGTATGATTTATTTTTATATTTACGTATATTTAAACTCATAGGTATTTATAATTAGGTTATTTCTAAAAGAACCTTTACAAAAATACAAAAAAAATCAGTGAATTTTCTAAGGACATTAAATAACACATTTTCATTTTCACTTTTACATAAAATTATATTTTATGTAAATGCCTCAATCATTTTAACCACAACTAAAATTTTTATTTCAAAATTACAATACAAGACACAACACATCATGGCAACATCCAAGCCAATACATGGGCATAAGATCCAAACCATTATGACATTAAGATAAGACCTTATGGTATTGTCACATTCATAAGAATTATGAATCTGTTATCTGAGGCTAATCGGCATTTTTTTAAACTAGTTAGTCCATCCATTCACAAAATAATAAATATAATATGTTCTAATTCATTCATTTATTATTTTCTTCTTTAGAAGTCGAGACATAATTTATAATGCAAATCGTTCGCAGTGAACTAGTTCTATAAAAATTAATGAACTAGTTGAATTAGTTCAGTTCAAAGAATCGTTCATTAGAACTATTTCGATGGTGAACTACACATCCCTAATTTCTAGTTCGTGATTTATTATCAGATGTCACTATTGCGTCCATACCGAAGCCATTTTAGCGTTGCTTCCTTTTCGACAGTAAATATTGTTTTCATGTTCAGAGCTTCTGTGAATAGTCGCTCCGAAATTCCTTTTAGAATTAAATTCTTAACTGTCTTTCCTTTTTACTTCGATATACCCTTTATGAGTATTAGAAACAAATTCGCTAAGGATTTTTGCTTAGTTGAGAAGATATGT